CCCCCCACACACACCCCATTTTTAAAGCTTAAAAGCTATATTGGAGCCCACATGTCCCCCAAAAATCGTGTCTCCTCCGTATTTTAGCGAGCTAATACCGGATCCAAGGCGTTATCGTGTAGTGGATCTCGTCTATTGCTCGTTTCGGCTCCCAAATTATCAATTTTTCACAATTCAAAAAACTGTGAATCGAGGTATTCTGACTTACTTTTTGGTAAAACACATGTATATAATGTGCTTATTAGTTATTTTTACTGTGTTGTATGCTTTTCGTGATCGTTTTGCGATACAATTATTATTTTTTTTGTTTTTTATCCGGATTAGTTTATTATGTGCTAAAAAATTATTTAAAATATATATTGTTATTTTATTTAATAATTAGTGTTATATGTGATTTTAGTGTTGTATGTATGTTAATATGTGACTTTATTGTTGTTTAGTGCCCTTTAGTATTATGTTGTGCCTTTAATTGTTATGTAGTGCCCTTTAGCGTAGTAAAACTGATAATAAATTTTAGTTTATGGTAGTTGACTTTGTTTATGGTCATTTAGAGTAGTGTGACTTTAGTGCTCTTTAAGATTTCGTAGTCTAGAATAAAAACTACGTGCTCTTCTTAACAAACTCGGTTAGAGTACTCAATTATGAATTTAATGTATTAGTAGATAATCATCAAATATTAGATATGAATCATAAAATAATCCGTTGACATTACAAAAAAGATGCTACCGAAATTTTGAGCAAAATATGACAGTTAACAAACAAATCGCTGCGAATGAAATAGACTCAATATTATTTAATATTAAGTTTGAAGTGTAACGACCCGACCGATCGTTTTGAGCTCTAGTGCGTCGTTCAACGGTTTGAGGCCTTGAGTAGCTTCACTTCAGGTATTATGACTTGTACGTGTGGTCGGAATTGAATTTCGGAAAGTTCAAAGTTGATTTGGAAAGAAAATTCTAATTCAGAAGCTTTAAGTTGGAAAAATTGATTAAGATTTAACTTTTGAGTAAAGACCTAGGAATCGGAATTTGAATGTTCCAATAGGTTCGTATTATAATTTCGGACTTGGGCTTTGAGTTGAGTATCGGGTGGCCCGGGAGCATTTCGGCGCTTATTATGGAAGGTTGGCAATTCGAAGGTTTAAGAATTTTCTAAGTTTGGTTTGAAGTGGGCTTTGGTGTTATCGATGTCCGCTTGGGATTTCGAGCCTCAGACGCGTTCGTCGAAATTTGAAAGTTTAAAGAAGGATTTCGGTCGTCGATTCGTAGTTTCGATATTGTTTGGTGTGATTTGAGGCCTCGACTAAGTTCGTAATGCGTTTTGGGATGCGTTGGTATGTTTGGATGGGGTCCCGGGGGCCTCGAGGTTGAAGCGGATCGAAAATGGATTGAAATTGGGATTTGAAGAAGTGTTGGTGTTGCTGAAGACTAGTGCCTTCGCACATGCGGAAGAAGTGGTCGCAGGTGCGGTCACGCAGGAGCGGCCAAAAGGGTCGCAGAAGCGGAGGGGGAGTGAGGATGGTTGGCTTCGCAGGCGCGAGAAAGTTCACCGCACCAGATTCGTGAAATTTCAGCTATTGTGGTCGGAGGATGTTATTATGGGCAACCGATTTATGTGGTGCATGGTGTGATTTCATCATAGGCGCATGATCATGTTTTGGTACAGTGTGTAGTGATTGATACAATGTTCGTTTATGAGAATCAGGTCTTGTAGAGAAATTCAGAGGTTGAAATTTGGTTCTAAGGCTTATTGACTAAATAGAGGGGAGGATCTTCAGTCTGACTCGAGCTAATGTGTTCAACTGGATTGTGGTGGAACGGGTAGGTGCACGAGGTGTTAAACAGTGATTTTGGACAACTCCGGAGCAATCCTTAGCACGTTCGAGGACAAACGTATGTTTAAGTGAAGGAGAATGTAATGACCCGACTGGCCGTTTTGAGCTCTAGCGCGCTGTTCAGCGGTTAGAGGCGTTGAGTAGCTTCACTTCACGTATTATGACTTGTACGTTTGGTATAATTTGAGGCCTCGACTAAGTTTGTAATGTGTTTTGAGATGCGTTGGTATGTTTGGATGGGGTGCGGGGGGCTTCGGGGTGAAACGGACCGAAAACGGATTGAAATTGGGATTTGAAGAAGTGGTGGTGTTGCTGAAGACTGGTGCCTTCGCACTTGCGGAAGAAGTGGTCGTAAGTGCAGGAGCGGCCAAAAGGGCCGTAGAAGCGGAGGGGGAGTGAGGATGGTTGGCTTCGCAGGCGCGAGAAAGTCCACGGTACCTGCGAGCCCGCAAGTGCAGGCTGTTGGATGCAAAAGCGGAATGGAGGAAGGAGAGGCAGTTCCACAGAATCGGAGGATCAGGCGCAGGTGTGAACTCCTGTCCGCAGACGCGGAGACGGAGGTCCTGAAGGGAACCACAGAAGCAGAGTGTCTTGCCGCACCTGCGGAACCGCAGAAGCGGTCAAGTGACCGCATGTGCGATGATCGTTGGGCAATGGTGCTTTTTAATCGAGACCTAGCTCTCATTTCTCTCATTTTCTCTTGTGTTGGCCAAAGTTAGAGGAGCTATTTTGAGGGGGGTTTCATCGAGCAACACGAGGTAAGTAATTTCAACAAGTTGTGAGTTAAATATATGAATTTGGGCTTGTAAA